AAAAAAATTACTGCTAATAAAAATGTATAATCTCCCCCAAAAAATATTTTGGGGAGAGAAAGAGTTAAGCTTTAGAGAGGAAATTTTTTGTTTTTAGAAGAAAATAAAATAGTAATCAAAATTTTAAAAATATAAAATGGTGTGTAAAACGCTAATATAAATGGTGTAATTTGTTATTTTTAATATTTTAATTTATTGAATTATTTATGAAGTTTTGAGCCAAATATTTTCCTTTAAATTAACATGAAGTGTGAATAGACCACCATACATGCATGATCTATTTTGTAAATTTCCTTTTGAGATAATTATTTTAGTGTCACACTCATAGTGTGATTAAACAAAGCATATAAAATTTACTAAGGTACATTTTATTCATATTTTCATATTTACATGGACAAACATCAATACATCTTTACATAAAACAAAAAGAAAAAACATAAACACAATATTCCCACCAATCAACGCATCATGTATCAAAGACATGAAGGGGTGTCCTCAAATTTTACAAAATATTCCTGTTACACTACATAAAATTTGTACATAATTAAATTAATGAGACGACACTGAACACACCGGAGGAAAAAGATTGCCAGTAAGTTTAGGCTGAACATTGGCACATTCTGATATCGCAGTTCCGTTGGTTCCATGGTACACCAAATTAACGTCGTTTAATGCTACGTTCTCGCACGGAGTTCCCTTACTACAACTAAGTTTCACTGCTAATTGGGTCGCCGATGTCCCTTTAATGGCGTTGAAACTCACGTCGCTAATCTTAACACGAGATGGAACCTCAGCTTTGCATTGACCATAGGGGCAATATTGTTGATCGATTAAGATAGGCGTGCTAACGTTGTTCATGACAATGTTGTCAAAACTCAAGCTGCGTGCTAAGCCAACAGTTGAAGCGGGCCATGTTTTCACCCTTATTCCGTTCATTGTGTTCGTGATCGTACAATTCCTTACGGTTATTCCCTCGACGGGTTGTTCGTTTTGGTACTTTCCTAGACTTCCAACGCTAATGCCATGACCAGGACCGCAGGTCACTTTCTCGATGTTTACTTGTTGGCAACCGTCGCCGAGGGAAACACAATCATCTCCTGTTTTTATGGCGGCATCGGTGATGTTGACCCCGGTCGACCGTCCAATGTGTATCCCATCGGTGTTTAAGCTACTCTCGGGTGCATCGATCGTAGTACGTTGAAACGTCACATTTTTACAGTTTAAAATGTTCATGTGAAACAACTTGCTATTTAAGGAAGTAATGTTTCGAATTACAGAATTGGTCACCTTGTTGAACGCCAAATTCTGTTCCAACAAAAAAGATTTTATGAGGACATAATAATGGATTTATACCATTAAGAACCGATTATTGAAACAGAACATACTATTGGAAGGGAATTACAAGTTCCCGTTTTTGCGCAATCGTTTTTGCTCCAAGCAACGGCTCCTTGACCATCAAAAGTTCCTCCTTCGACTGTCAATCCATTTACGTTGTTGAAAACAATCCAACTATCCTGAGACTTGAATTTTGCTGGGTCTGCTGGTGCCTTCAATGTTCCATCAATCTTAATCGTGATTGGTGCTTGACACGGACCCTGGAATTTTACTGCTCCGACCATATAATTTCCTTTCGGAATCACGACCATACTCTCTTTCGGTGCCACGCATGCCTCTTTCCATGCACTCTCAATTGCCTGCATACAAATTAATCATTCTAATTAACAACCTAATATGATTAATAGTACAAATCTCATAATTATCATACCTTGTTGTCATCTGATTTGCCGTCAGCCTTTGCACCATATTTTTTTCCATCAAAGTCAGCCGCCCGATTTCCCTCTATCAAACCCATAAAACACCATATCAAGCATATAGCTTTAATGGACACGAAACATATCTCATTTCTCATTCTTCTTTTGTCTTTCTTTTTTGATAATTTAGTATGTATCTTTATTAATTGCAATATAGCATATATATAGAAGAGCTATAAAAGTAACAAACCACAAAATCTCATATCTAATTTTGGATAATACTATCTTCTGAGGTCTATCTGTTTTCTTTGTTGAATGGTGTTAAGATTCTTTCCTCCCATGCATTTAGGAAGACATGGAAACTGCTCAAACACCTAGTTATATGGTAAATACAACTACGAATTAAGTCTCGTTCTCAATAAATATGAAAACATATACTACTAAGTGTCGAGATGTCTTGATCAAATGCCTAGTGGCATGATCAAAGCCGATGATAGTAAGATAGGTCTTTCATCATGAAGTCAAATGAAACTATCCATAGAATCATGTGC